TCTATGTGAGAGAGAGGACACTTTGAGCGGGAAAGTGCGGAAAAAGTAGAAGAGGATGGGTGAGATCTCGATGAAGTTTTCAAACACTTAACCATTCACGCCTAAAATCATCAGGAATATGATATTACGCCGGTTCCAACCATTGAATCATCATCAATCAACTTATCTGCAATGTATCCACTGAATAAAAGCCGTAGCTGAGCGGTTAAAGCTTAAAGACGGTCAATAGTTGAATTTCACAGTCCTGAATTCTTTCCCGACCCACTTTTCCACTTCCACCAATGGAATTAGTATTAACTACAATTAATTAAGGTTTTTATTTGAGATAAAAAATCAGTGTCACGAGCGGGATTCGAACCCACGACCTTTGGCTAGATACGCCGCTGCTCTACCACTTGAGCTATCGTGACCTCGATCCACTCGGACACTAACATCCCATCTCAACCTACAACCTTTCAAATTTTCCCTCCTTTTTGCCATTTTTCAAATGTCGTGCAATCTATTTGATTTTCGGCGACAAATGAAATGGCCACGGAGAGCTTTAGTAAAGATATACTTTATTTTACATATTAAATTCATCAGTTTCGTCGTCCGATTGACCAATTTTTTAATTAATCAAGGTTTTTAGTTGAGGTAAAAAAAGTTGGGGTTGAGATGTTGGTGTCCGAGTGGATCGAAGTCACGATAGCTCTAGTGGTAGAGCAGCGGCGTATCTAGCCGAAGGTCGTGGGTTCGAATCCCGCTCGTGACAATGATTTTTTTATCTCAACTAAAAACCTTACTTAATTGAAAAATATTAATTGTTCAAGGGGACCACGAAAACTAGTGAATTAACTACAATAATCTTGGTACAGGTTGACACGGGCAATAGTACCCAGTAACAAGGGGGTTCCACGTCCGACTACATTTTTTTAACATTTTTACTTCGACACTATAATCAAATATTTGATTTTTTTAATTCCATTTTCCAATAATTTGGAACTATGGATTTTATCCTTAAAGCTGAACATTCAAAACTGTTAGTTAGTTTTTGTTTTGTTCTAACACGTCAAAATTGATCATAATTTAATGTCAATCAATTAATTGTTCATGTTGCAAATACAATAAAAATGTTATATTTTGGTGCAATTTAACAATAATAACTACTCATTGTAGGACAGTAAGTTCGAATTGACGGATTTCGCGACAGGTCCAAATCGCGTGGCTTCACGCGATAAGTGTTTTCTTCACATTTCATACCCGAAAAAAAGGAGAAGAGAGTTTCAGGACGGGCGTTAAATACCAAGCCGCAGCCGGCGATAAACAGGTGCCGCAGCCGAGAAAACATTATTTATGAGGCCATGATATGGTTTTATGCTGAAGGAGCGCACTGACGGCTCTATGTATCTCCTGGGCAACACCCCCCCCTACCCATTATAACCAAAATAACCAGGCTTATTTGTGCCAAATTGATCTTTTGGAAAATACCCTTTTACATGTTTCAAAAGTCGTTTTGCATAAAATAAAAAAAATTAATCTTTTTTTTGCGCACGCAGGAATGCTTCCCGATTTGAGAATTGTGCATGGGCACGGCAGCGAGTATCTTGGTCCTCTGTTCCGATTACTGGAGAAAACGGCGTTGCTCTCTGTATATAGTAATAAAAGTTGTGTACCTAGTTTGTGTTGAAATTGAATGTATTTATTAGCGTGAATGTGTGATGTGAGAGGGTCGATGGCGGAATATCGACCCTCAATTAGGTTAGTTGTATAATATGTGTAAAGGGTTATGGAAGAATATCGAGCACTCCACCACCCTAGTTGACTGAATGGTATATAAATAAGAAAGAAAGTATTTAAGAATTAGTGAGAGAGAGAGAGAAAGAGAGAGAGAGAGAGAGAGAGAGAGAGAGAGAGAGAGAGAGAGAGAGAGAGAGAGAGATTGGGGTTGGTTTTATGAACTGATTGCTATGGGGTTGAAATGACCTAGCTGTTGGTGGACCCTAGTTGACTGAATGGTATGTAAATAAGAGTGAATGTATTTAACAATAAATGCAAGTATGAATGGGTTTGGAATTGTATTCGTTGGGTGCTGAATTGACCTGATTGTTGCTAGCACCTGGAGCCCAATCTCGGTGGCTGGACGGATAAGACCCTGGTTTGACTCCGGAGTACAGACCAGAGTCGGTGATTTTCGAGGACTTCCGGTGATTTATTTTAAATTACAAAACCTCATTGACAGTGATCTGGGAAAAGTGCACACGATATGTACATGTAATTTTAATTGAAAAAATCCAAATATTTCGCTAAAGTTTACTTATTTTCTGAAAAATAAAATAGTTATTATGGATATTCTATAACAGTTGGAACTAATATCCTGTATCGCATTATATGAGTTCAAATTGTAAAAAGACACCAAAAACAAAAAACGCATCAGGTAAAGTAGGACCAAACGACTTATTTTGTTTGTTTTTTAAATTTAATAATTTATTAATTTTTTAATAATTTAAGTTAATTCGTTTTAAGATATAGCTTTTAAATAAGATTTTCTTTTTGTCCTATGTCCGGTACAAATAATGTTCATAGCATGTGTTGAGAGTGAATGTATTTATAAGCGTGAATGGACGAATATTGAGTAATGCACTATCCTAACTGAGTGAACGGTATATAATTAGGAAAGAATGTATTTAAGAATGAGTGAGAGAGTGAAAGGAGTTGGATTTAGGAACTGATTGCGTTGGAGCTGAAATGATCTAGCTGTTGGTAACCTCAAGAGCACAACTCGGCGGCTGGAAGGATTAGACCCAGGTCTGACCCCAAGACTGTCAATACTGAAGGTGGGTAATTCGCAAGGCCTGTCGGTGATTTATTGTAAATTACAAAATCTGGAATTACAGGTAGACTGCGAGAAGTATAGGCTCAACTATTTACATCCGTGTATGTACTTGCTTGTGCAGATTTGAGTTATATAAATCAGTCATGAGTTTATTTTCTCGGCTTCTAAGTTCCATTGTCAAAAACACACAAGTCTGGTCCTACTCCCTTTCTTTTCTTATTTTGTAATACAAATTTTTTTGAGCGGGACTACCTCGAAATACCTCCTTTTGTTTTAATAAAAACATTGGTTTTCCGGTAAAGTAAATAAAATTTGTAATAAAATATTTATGTTACAATTGATCCGGCTCGAGACCTTACCTGTCGGGTATTCTACTACTAGTACTCATTAGTCATTAATTTTACCTGTCAGCCGTTCGATATTGACTTTGGCTTGTGATATATAATTTGTAATAGATTTTTATTATGTAATCGGCCATAAATCCTGGGGATATTCGGTGTCACAGGTATAATAAATTAAGTGTAAATATTTGTTATTATATTGTGTTTTTACATGGTAATAATGCAAAAAAGGAATAAAATCAATACTGTTTTTCTACATTTCGAATTAAAAATTTATCTCGGATCAAGGATGAAAAAAAAAACTAAACAAATTTTTACAGTTTGCACGTCTTCTGTATTTTTGCAAATTTCTCTGTTTTTGCGCTTTAGTCTATCACTTCGTCATTGATAAAATAACAGATTATTAAATATGATAACTGTTATCCCAATAAAAAGGAAAAAAGTATTTTCTTCGCTAAATACTATGTCAAATAAAGCGAAATAAGATTAAAATGTATATAAATATATCGGCTCATATTCTAGATAAAGAATTCTGAAACCTCTTTCGTATTAAACATTAAGCGTGTTACAGGTTTACAAGGACAGTAGTACCCAGTACCAAGGGGGTTCCACCTTCGACTACATTTTTCTTTGAACATGTTTAATTAGACACTAAGTATTATTGTTCAATATAAATAATCAAATATTTGATTTTTTGAATTCCATTCTATAATTCGAAACTGTGAACCTTATCATTGAAGCTGAACATTCAAAAATGTTATGTTTTATTTAGGTGGAACACGTCAAATTTTATGTAATTTGACGTGTTGATCAGGCATGTCCAATGCAGCGAAAAGGCATAATCAGCAGCAGCATTAGAGCACGATCTATGGATGACACGTAGAAAATCAACCAACTTGCCACAATTGCTTCGGCAAACTGAAATCCATACTGATAGCTCGGATAAACACTCAACCAAACCAAATCAGTAAACGCTCACCACAAAGGAAACCTCTCCTTGAACCACCGTGTGCGGAGTCTGAGCTTTAACTCTTCAAACACATGACGTCGTGCAACAAATAGAACATGCCACAGGAACCCAGGTTGAGAAGGTTCCTACAGGTGGTCGTACGTCCTGTTTTGGTTTGTTGATTGATCAAAGTCTCATCACCAAACTGGTCAAATACTACAATCAACATATGCAAACAGGAAGACTAAGGACCTTCACATGCCCTTATCTCTAACTAGCCTGAATTAAATAACACAAGATGAGTAATTTTTTCTTCCTTCGTACTAAATCAATGGTAAGTATATAATGGCCACAATAAAATGTTTGCACTAAACATAAAAGATTAGAGACCTGGTAAAACAAATGCTGAATAGAATTAAATATATTTTAGAATTTAGAATTAAATATAAAGTCCTTTTTCAATATTCCAAATAGTAATTATTTGACATAAAATCAATACACATTTAGTTTATAATATAAATGGGGTCTATTTAATAAATAGATCGAAACAAATCAAATGCATTAAAACGTTTTTTATTCAAGACCTGGGCGATTGACTTGGCCTCAAATATGTCAAGCATTATTAATTAAAAACTTTATGATCGAGTAAAAATCGATAATTTAATAAAAGGAGAACGAAATGCCACGTGAATGTATAATTTTAAGGTAGTAAATTATCGGATTTACCAACAATGCGATTACACTTGATAATTACCATATTTCATATTAAGTTGTATTTTTGGACGATGTTTTTCTTGAACAACGATCGTGAAAATGATGTGATCAATAAGTAATTAGGGTAATTGCCAAGTAAACGAAAGTTAAAGTGGACAAACATGTTTGATTAGGGTGAACTTACCGGTAAAGAGGATAATGAGAGCGATGGCAAAAACCGCGGATGAGCCCATGACCGTTTTAACTTGTGACTGTTTACATTGATCAGCTGCCGCCACGTCCTTCACATCCTCGCGGGGAACCTGAAAAAAAGGCCGTCATGTCAGAAATAGTATTCGGCTCGGATTTCCATTACACGAGGGAGGTGGTGCGGGGTTGAAATGTCACATTGCTGTTGCTTTTTCAATTTGGTGAAAAGGGAGAAACACGAAAACGCCATGCAGTGCTATCAAAAACATATACTACGATATTTCTTTGGGCTTTTTAAACAAATAAATATAGAAACAAGGCTGTAATTTCTACTCGACCAAAATGCTACCAAATATTGCCCAAAATTGTTATTTTTATTTATGTTCTATTATTTTCCCCCAACTGCTTCTATTTTAACTACATATGGTGTACCCCAAGGTTCGATTTTATTCATAATTTATATTTATGATATGCTTAACCTTCAACTAGCAGCAAAGATTATTTTTTATGCGGATAATACCTGTTTTGTTTGCATTCAGGTAATAATTGAAAAACTTTATGTGCGGAAATTAATTATGACATAAACATTGTTAGACTATGGTTGAATATAAAAAATTATTGTTGAACACTGAGAAAACATGTATAATTAATTTTTCTATAAAGAACAACAAACAAAATCCGTTGAAAATTTTCTTTCATAATTGCAGGACAGTGTTTGTAATTTGTAATAAAATCTTCTTTCCTTCTGTAATAGCCTTAAATATCTTGGAATCATTTTTGACGAGCGCTTGTCATTTCAATTTCATATTGAAGCATTAGTAAAAAGAAACCAAAAACTATTTTTTTTAAATAGAATACTTACAATGAGATTAGACTTTCAAATTTTAAAATGAGTTTACTTTACGCTCGCCCAATCTATATGTGGTATGGCATCATTGCCTGCGGTGGAAATGCAGAAGAAAATCATTAAAGATTGCTAATAATACTTTATTCAAACATATTTTTCAACAACTTCTAAGATATCATACAAAGCAGCTCTATGTTGATACGAATGTGCACAATTTACAACAAATCTTCCTTAAAAAAAACTTTGTATTCTCCTCTTAAAATACAGTAAAATCCCTCCCTCCCATAAAACTTTATTTGTATACATGTCAGATGCCTAAAGTTAAAACTGCCGCGTACTATAATTTTTCACTTAATTTTGCATTGAGATTTTTACATAAAAATAAAATTATTTACAACAGCTATAATAACTTTACATCCTTTATAAAAGCCCTAATAAATAAAATTATCCAACGTACAATTTTTTCTATAACCTGCGTCCCACCAGACCGCATCTCACGATCTCCAAATAATATTTGGCTAATGGTCACTAAACACCACACAGTACAATTAATACTTAAACTTTTTTTAGTTTTTGTTTATATACAAGTGGTTTTTTCTTTTTACAATTTATAATGTTCTGAAGCAGGCTTCTTGCTAACAAATATAAGTTTTTACTTAAGAAAAGTACTTCCTAAATGTTTCGTTATATTTATTTCAATGTAAAATTTAATTCGTCAGACCGCAAATATATAATTTCTATTCTATTCTATTGGAATGCAAAGTCCTCAAAGTTTGGACATAGATAGGTAAATAGATAAACAGATAAATAGAAAGATAGGTATGTAGATAGTTGATAGATATTTAGATAGATTGAAAAATAGAAAGAGATGATGAAAAGGGTGAGATTTATTTGATCTATTTAGGCTCGCAAACGAAAGCCTCGTGGAACTTTCTGTCACTTAACATGGAATGAAAAGAAGGACAGACATAGATAAGTAGATTGCTAGATAGATAGTGAGAGCGAGAGAGATTTGTTTAATTTAATTAGGTACCCTAAGTAGTCTTCGAGGTACTTAGAGCCACTTAACAATAGAACGTGAGATAGAGGTAGAAAGAAAAAAAGAAAGAAAAAGACGTAGGAGTGATAGAGAGAGAAAGAGTGACAGAGTAGTATACAGGGAGACAGAGAAAGAAACAAAACTGAGCATTCGCCAATTCAGCACGGCGCGACGCTACGTTAAACCTGCACGACCGAACAGGCATGTAGGACTTTAATCTATTCAAGCGCCTTGCAAACCAGAAATTAATTTGTGATCGACGAGAACCAAACTAATTTTTCTGTTACTACGACGTTAAGGCACTACAAGCACTTTGATGCTTTAACGTTATACGATTTTAGGAGTGGAAAATTAATCCATTAATTACACAATGCGTCTTAGAATATTGGTTCGGGTTGATAGATGTTCGAATGGGCCAGGGTTATATGGAGGCATCCATACCCACTTCTTGCGGTTTTGAGGACAAATGGCATTTGAAGAACCGTGTATATAGTAAGGTGAATACGAGGTAAAGAGCGAGAGTAATGGGTTCAACGATTTTGAACTGGAGTGATTAATTTCTTTGTAGGTTGCTTGGTTTAAACCAACCATTCAATTCCGCACGTCCAGATTGTTTGAAGTACTAATGAGTAGATGAGGCGTTTGTTTTGTAGTAAGTTACGATTTGCTGTTAAGTAATGTTTTGAGTAGTATATCGTCTGTTCAGTTTTATTCTTTTGAATCGAGTTTGGTCGAGTTCGAGAAAAAACAATTAAATTATTTTAAAGAAAATGTCGAGGTTGTGTTCTTTATAGATAACAAAATTTCATAAAAAAATAAAACGTAAATACATAATAAACTTATTATTGCAGCACATGCATTTCTGCTTTCCAGGCGTATTATTAATGCTGCAAATTCGGTCAATTAATCCTTGAAACAGATTCAGAAACGCATTCAAAGAAATAATGCTGAAAAATTTTCAAAGCGGTAAAACTTACTTGGATAAACATTTTCTGGTTCAAATACTTAGATTATTATTACAATATTAATTTGTAATATAATCACGACTAATTTGTCCTGAGAAATGGTACAGATGAGAGTCGATTAATTTTAAATCCCTCAGCTATTTCATTGTGGCCGGATCCGCCGAATGCGATCCCTTGACTTCTATCAACCTGGAGAGAATTGCTCGTACCTGTTTCACGACCCAGGTTCTATTGCAGTAACATTCATTAATCTTAGCGGAGTTTAGAAGAAAATAAACTGAAAATTCGAGGCAGTAAATTTCGCCCCTGGGGGGCAAGGTTTCCCCGTGGGGCTTAAAGTCGGAAAGGTGAAATCACCCGAGACAAACCCTTACTCAACTCCGATATCAATTTCTCCCATCCTTTTTTATCAAAGTTTAAATACACGCTTTGGAAAACAATTCTCCTAAGTTGTAAACAAATTTACACGCTCATAAACTGTTATGACTAAAAAATGACCAAACAGTCTTTGCCCTGTTTTATCTATACTTATTTACAAATTTTGTTTCAAAAAGCATAAAAATTAATTGGATGTAATCAGAAAGATTTACCATTACATTAATGATGTTCATAAATGCAAATTTATTTCAGCGAGAAGTTTTTTGTTTTGTATGCCAACGTAAAACATTAATAAAAAATATTTATGTAAGGTATTGGTTGAGATAAAAAAGTCAATGTCACGACCGGGATTCGAACCCACGACCGGAGGGAAAATTCGAAAGGTTGGATTGAGGTGGGAAATTGGAGTCCGAGTGGATCGAAGTCACGACAGCTCAAGTGGTAGAGCAGCGGCGTATCTAGCAGAAGATCGTGGGTTCGAATCCCGCTCGTGCCATTAACTTTTTTTTCATCTCAACTAAAAACCTTAATTAATTGTAATTTTAAATTATTATAATGATTATTTGAAGATCGTGAGATGCGATCTGGTGCGACGTAGGTTTTAGAAAACATTTTCTTTGTCGTGCCAACGTTTACCCGTTCGTCACACTGATTTTTTTATCTCAACCGATACTTTACATAAAAGATTAATTAATTGAAAGATATTATTTGATCAATCAGACCACGAAAACTGGTGAAATTAATAAAAGATTTTGTAATAATAAATATATGGTATATTGAACGATATGAGTGCCATTTTCTTTATAATTTGAAAACTAAATTAAACTACTTAAGATAGGTAGACTTATTTTAGTCGCTGATGAAATCTTTAAAGTGTTCCGTTATATTTTTAACAGAAAAAGTCACTACTTTTTAAGACTGTTGAAAGTTGACAAAGGGGAAAATATGGAAAGGTCTACTCGGGGAAAAGGTGAAAGAGGTATAAGATCAAAATAAAGTACAAGACGCAAAATAATTATTACAGAAATAGAATGAACGAAAGACAAGGAAAAGAGGGAGAGATAGATAGATAGATAGAGAGAGAGAGAGAGATAGAGAGAGAAAGACAAACTAGAGACAGACAAAAGGAAACTGAAAAGGAAAGAGAGATAGAGAAGCGTGAGAGAGATTTGGGATGGATGATTTGGGACAAATAAAGATAATAAAGATGTTCAAATAGGAAATGAGTGAGTGCGAAAAAGAGAGAGAGAAAATAAAGAGAGATAGATAGTGAGAGAGAGTGTGTGAGCGAAAGCTTGATAGTGTTTGATTGATAGATTAAATTAAAATGGTTTTAATTTCTGAAACAACGACGACTCAAGTGTTACTTAATCAAGCAGCATTGAAACGAAAACTTGTTTTAATTTGGTTATCTGGACCGTATTACAATGCAATACCTCTTGACCTTTTTGCGTAAATTACTTCCGCCCTGTGCTTTTGCAATTAAAACTTTTACTAATTATCTCTCAGAAAATAGTGAAACACTATTGTTTTGACTTAGTCCTTGGTTTTGTATTTTTAATTATTATTAACAAATTAAATGTCATAACGTTTAGGGTAATAAATAAAGAAATGGAATGTTGAAGAGATAAGATGCTTTTAGAAAATAGATTCTTATATGTCAAGTCACTCTTACAAGTTAATAATAGTTAATACATGCAGCATGAGCTTTAAGCAACAACAATAATAATAACGATTATGCTAATTTTAATGAATATATCACCGGTTTTATTAACACGTTAAAATCGTGGGACATAATTGTTTCAAATGGTGCTGTAATAGTTACTAGCCCGGGTTGTCGTTTTCCATTTCACGTAACTGGGGCTGAGAGAGGCGATTGGGTTA